ATATTTGTACACGAGGTCCGCAATACTGGTGAAGTTCAATACAGAAAAATGCTCTTCGTCCAGTTCATGAAGCTGAAACACTTGAGTAGGTCAAATATTTTAAAAGTTCCTCAATAGATTTGTGGCAGAACGTCTGCTCTCCAATCAGCGCTTGTATTGTTCTGGCACCATATTTCGACAAAAACCACTATAAATTTCGGCACACTAAAATAAAAAGGTACTGGAATGCGAACTATGCTCTATGATAAGCCCCGCTCGCTACAGGTATTGTTCAGACCGGCAATATTTACCCTTCAAACCCCACTCGTCAAAAGCTGAGGAGAGCTGGATTTTAATTGAAATTGTCCACGATTGTGGATTTGGCTAGAAACTTGCTCCTGAGGTAATTCGACCCGTAGAACACGAATATCACATTTGTTTACCGCTAGAACGCCTGGCGCTCGCGCCAGAAGCGCCGGCGCCAAAAGGCGCCAGAACATCTCGGATCACCAAATTCGCTGGAAACTTGTCCTCAGAGGTATTTTGACCCGTAGAACATGAATATCACATTAGTTCGTTGCGAGTGAGCCTGTAGCCTGCGCTACAGGCGCCAGCGCAAAACTAATGTGGTAGCGCCGGCGTCAGTGGTGCGAGCGCTAGGGGTCATCGCGCTAAATTGATGCCATATTCGTATTCAACTGATATTGATATCATGTTATCATACTGATATGTTCGCTAAACTGATATTCATGTTCTGGGGTCAACTACCCTACACCGGGTACACCGGATTAAAAAACTTCTACACAGCAAGTTTTTAGTAAATAGTGCCATCAGATCAAAAGGAAAGGGAAGATTTTAGAAAAAAAAATGTTTGAAGGACGCTCCAGGTAGACACGCTTACCTGTTCCTATACCCAGGTGTAGTATGCAGGCGAACAAGCGTTGATGTCGCGCCCCTTTTGCGGCTTGAAAGTGCGCGACAAAGGCGCAAGAAGCTCGCTCGACCCGCAATCCACACCTTCGTCCGCAAGCCCCGCCCTCCGCTGTCGGTTGCCACGTGGCGCTGCTTGAAAAGCGCGGGCGCATTTGAGGCAGCGGTTCCACCGCGACCCATTGTGTCAATGGCATTCTTGGTGTCGAGTAGCGCAAATGAAACATATTGCGTTTATGTGCCGTATCGGATCAGCTAGTTGATGTGTCTTGCGTGGCGTTAAGTGTAGGGCCGAAGAACCATGGCATCTTACTCAATGTTTCTTGTAACGTTCAGACGGCCTTTTACATTCACGACTGAGCAAAAAGACTGTTTGATCTGATGTTGCCTTTTTAAAGGATTTCTCGGAGGTGTTACATGGGCAATATTGGTAGCACGAACATGTCAGTTGTATCCCAATGCTTCGCCTTCTAAATTGCTCCTCAAATTTTTTCTAGTGTTCGTTACATGGTAAGTTATGCTATGTTGGCTATGTAAGAATCTCTGCTCATTGCACTTGTCGCTGTTCAGGGAGTGGCCCCTTCCTGTTGTTTTGAAAGACATGGATACCACTTGTCGGCCTGATATTGGCAACCTCCAAGATTTAGTATGGGACCCTCGAATTCGTGGATCCGACAGGTATTTGTCTTGGTTTTCTGTCAGTGTTGTAGGGACTCATCTCGTTGTATGCTTTTATGCTTAGAGTTTTCAGAGAATAATAAATGTTTTTAGGTTTCATCTCATGCCCATTCTAACTCCTGCTTTTCCTGAACAAAATTCCACATTCAATGTCACGAATTCAACGAGGAGCATAATGATTAGCGAAATGAAAGAAGGTTCCGATCTCTCGTCTGCCTAAACTCGTAATACTGTAGTTCGCTAGTTTTTAGGACTTGAAATAATGAAGGACATTTACGAAGGTCGAGCAGAATGGTCAAAACTATTCGAGGAAGTGAATTTCTTCACAAGATATAAGCACTTCATTTGTGAGTTATTTAGCGAATTTATATTTGGTAGTAGATGGGCTAACGAAGAATCTATTTTAAGCTCTGACTTGTGCAGCAAGAACAGAAGAGGATCACTTGATCTTTTGCGGTTTCGTGGAATCAAAAATCCGACATTTAATTGGTGCCCTTGAAAGGAATCAAAAGGCATTTCATTTAGCTCATATTAATCCTCGGCAGTACAAGCCACTACCTACTGCTGTTCCTTCATTCGGTCCTGGATATGAGTAAGTTTATCGAGATTGAGAAAGGTTTTT